CCAATGTCATTTCAGATAACAGAATAGGTTTCTTAAAGTATGTTAATAGCAAGAGAAAGTCTAAAGAAAACATTGGATGGATGCTTGAAGATGGTCATCAGACACATAGGAATGAAGAAAAAGCAGAGGCATTCAATGTGGTTTTTGCCTCAGTCTTTAATGATCTGATAGACCTTGGGCTGCCCGGTCCCCTGAATCAGAGGACAGCCAAATGTGGGAACACTGTTTTCTCATGTCTACAGAAATTTGTGGCCACTGAAATTGTAAGGGCCAGCTGTACCAGCTGAATGATCACAAGTCCATTGGGCCTCATGGGATTCATCCCAGAGTTCTGAAGGAGCTAGCAGATGTTATGGCAGGACATCTCTCTATCATCTACCACGTGGGAATCTAGGAAAGATCCTGCTGACTGGAAGCTAGCCAATGTTACTCCAGTCTACAAAAAGGGGGTGAAGGATGATCCAGGGAACTACAGACCTGTCAGTGTAAACTCAATGAAAGGGCTGGAAGGCATGTCCTATGAGGACGTGGGAATCTAGGAAAGATCCTGCTGACTGGAAGCTAGCCAATGTTACTCCAGTCTACAAAAAGGGGGTGAAGGATGATCCAGGGAACTACAGACCTGTCAGTGTAAACTCAATGAAAGGGCTGGAAGGCATGTCCTATGAGGAGCAGCTGAGGACTCTGGGCTTGTCTAGTTTGGAGAGAAGGAGGCTGAGGGGTGACCTTGTTGCTCTCTACAGCTTCCTGAGGAGGGGAAGTGCAGAGGTAGGTGCTGAGCTCTTCTCCTGGGATCCAGTGATAGAACACATGGGAATGGTTTAAAGCCATACCAGGAGAGGTTTAGACTGCACATTAGGAAGCATTTGTTTACCAAGATGGTGGTCAAACCCTAGAACAGGCTTCCTAGAGAGGTGCTGGATGCCCCAAGCCTGTCAGTGTTTTAAGAGGCATTTGGACAACGCTGGCCTTAATTACATACTTTAACTGTTGGTCATCCCTGAATTGGTCAGGCAGTTGGACTAGATGATCACTGCAGATCTCTTACACCTGAAATATTCTATTGTAAATGTTAGCTCACAAATTCTACCAGAACATATATTTTCTCCTTAAGGTCTCGCACTCTGTTATTTCTATTAAACCACTGTCAGAGTTTACAAAAGTAAAGCAAATCTTTATGGCATCACAGCTAAAGCGTATACTGAACGTAGTGATTTACACAGTGAATACAGTGATAGATTTATAAGGTTAAATGTAATTTTATTTTCTGATTCTCACCTCTGAGCTTTTAATAATTTTCTTTAGTGTGTATTTTTGTCAGAATTAGTATTGACAAGCCTTTTTTTAAAAAAATTCAACACAATTTGAAATCTAGAAGTTTGAAACTGAAAGAACATTAGAGCCTTCCAGTGTCATCACTTTAATATTACTAAATAGAGAAAAATATTACCAAATAGAGAAAAATTTATTCCTTTTTATTATTTGACACTGTAAAACATCGTCAAACCCTCTGATGGACTTTTATCCTATGGACTTATGTGCTGCATAGAGACACAATTCCTTTCCAAAATTTCTTATCATTTCTGTTGAGAAATAATACCTTTTTAGGTTAAAAATCCTTTTTTTTATGTATTTCTCTCCTTTAAAAGGTAAAAAATTTGTTAGTATGCTGTTTTCGTAATGTCCATACCAGGGCTGTCACAATTATAACTTGCTGTGAAACAAAATTTCAGGCCAGCTGGTGGTTCTGTGACAAGGTAATGTCTTATCACTAAAGAATATAGCACTTGAAATGCTACAGTTCACCCAGCAGGCTCTTTCTGACTGTATGAGAAAGTAATAAAGGTAAGTATTAGAGAGCGCTCCATCCTCCCAGACCTGAACAATGAAAGAAGACAATTCAATTCAGGTCCTTTGAATCCAGGAATAAGACACCATTACCTCAAAGCAAGAAAAAAACCTCAAACAAACAAAAAAAGAGCTGTAGGGCATCCCCATGCAAGACACCACCTACTTGAACCTGTTAACCCTTGCTAGCTCATCTGTGATAATGATACAGAGTATTTTGTTAAGAAATAATGACTCTGCTTCTTCGAGTGCCCATGCTAACTTTCAAACAAACTTGCACCCTTCACTGTTAAGCATCTGAGAATCTCATTCTGAGGAAATCAGTCTTTCTAGCTCCTACATGCTTCAAGTTCAACACAAAGTATCATGCTGAAAGGGCTATTAAACATGAAGTTTAAATGTCTGCTGTAGAAGAATATGTACAAAATTGTAACAGGACGCATGCTGGATTAACTGTGCCTCTAGCTACAGAGTTGTAGTGACTTAACAGCATTACAATTTACCATTTCTGCATCTAACTGCCAGGCAAGGACAGCAGAACAGCAGCATTCCGTGTATTTCATCACTGCGGTACATGGAAAAGCAATTCAGTTCAGATCTTGTCATTCAAAACACATTTTAAAATTGCATTTTCAGTTTCTTCTGACTATTCAAATCTGTGAGATTTTGCAGAATGTTTTATTTCATATATGCTGAATATAATTTATCAGATGATGTTACCAAATACTTTCCCAGTAATTTTGAAGGAAGTGTTACAACCTCATGCCGTGTTCTGCTCAGCATTAACATCAAATCACACTCACTATGTTTAATTATATTTTATATTTTATCTAATATAAATGATCTTTCATAAATGCAGTTTTAATGGAAATGTATATTGAAGAACTACTATTCATTTTACAAAGACATTTGCATACTCAATGGAAAGTAATAAAGTATAATATTATATAAACAGATGTTACATATACAGATACGGCATATTTAGAACAATACGGCTTCTGAGATAGCTTATGAGATGGGGTAATAGCGATCTATTTCAGATTTTGTGCATTAGAATAGCTTTCTGAGATACTTAACTGGTTTAATTTAAGGTCCTATAGGTGCAACAGTCAACCAATTTACTAGCAAGCATAACTGCAACACAATGCTCCAGCGCAGAATGTTCCATGTAGAAGTGAAAACAGCAATAGTGAACTGTTTTGAGTTAATTTGGCAATGACAAGGCTTTTTAAGAACCAATATTAAAATTTTAAGGGGAAAAAAACCCCCACAAACCAATATGCAATGCTGGCTGAGTTAAAAAGCTTTAGTGTGAAACTAAGATCTGAAATCCTGTCTCTAACTCTACGTCCTGGTAGGTGACGTTACGGAGTGAGTTTAGGGTGACATGGAGCCCTTGTTTTTCACATGTTTCAACTGCAAGTTTTTTTAGGCAAGAATTGCCAGAATCTATTTGGACTCTGCATGTTGCTGCCATGCAAAGAACAGCAAAATGACCATTTTGCTAGAACTATAAATTTATTCTATCTGGCAAGAATACAGCTGCTACACCCCTTCTATGCCACAGGTAACCCTGAACACATTTAGATTAATATGGACTGCTTCGAGACAAGCACATATTTGTAGCCTGCCATGGAGAGGCATTATAAGAAATAAACTGACGTGAAACTAATCACATTAATATAACATCATAAACTATGTTCCTACTTTTGCCAGGAGAGACATGAACAATAAAATCTATTCTAGAGGATACTTCGTAGTTAAAAGAACTGTGTAAAGACTATAACGTGAACACAGTTTTATTGCTCCATTATCAAAAAATAATAAGGTAATGTCAAAGTGAATTACCATGTGATCTCCAACATTAAAACACCACAAGGGAACTAGCAAGCTACAGCGGTGAAAGCATGCACATGACATACAATTACCTAGTATGTAACACTCTTAAGTTAATCGCAAGAATTTAAAGTTAAAAAGATAGAGAAGTTGAGAGGCAAAGAGTCTGTGTTCCAGTTCCTAGAGGGCACAGAATAACAAAGGATTTGAGATATCAAGGGCTGGAGCCTGCCTAAAAAGATATGAATGAGATATAGCCTACGAAACTCTGGGAAATTCACCTTTGTGCCATATTAAAAAGAAATTCTATTTATCTGCTGTTCAAAACATGTTAGATGAACTGGATTTATTTGATCCAAGGTTTCCCAAGATTTAATGGCTTCCCATCGTCAAATACATTTTTAAATTACTTGTATTCATGCATAAAAAAACCCAAAATCTTGTTTAATAAGGCTGTTACAAATATCTCACAAAGGAAACGTTGCTCAAAATCTTCAAGCACCCAAGGAAGATTGCAAAGACCTGAAGCTTAGCTCCAGGTCCCACATTGTTAAATGTGCTGTTATCCCCACCTCTCTTTTAAGTGAGTATCACCTAAGAATTAGAAGATGTGAGTATCAGAGGGTCCTGCACAAGTAAGTTTTGGCTGTCCTTTCTTTCTGAGGGAAGTTTGCAGAAAAGAACATCTATCCCCTGGCATCACACTTTCCTACATTTGGCACCTTTCTACCATCTCTAAGGGGTAGACACGGGATGGGGGTTTCTGTACACTTGGGCAACACAGTTGTTACACTCTCTCTTTCTATATGTTTGCTTCCTCAGCAGAAGGAGGAAGATGTTTCAGGTGATCAGGATGACAAATGTAACTAATAGAGAAAAAAAGTTATGCCTTCTGTTACGCATTTACTATTGTAACTCCTACATGAATTTATAATTTTTGTGGCAAGAAACAGATCCTAATTGGTGTTTCAAGGTACTTCTTAATAATTTCCAATCATTTTCAATAGCCTATATATTGCACAGTTGTTTACAACTCACTGCACAGATATAGTGTCAGCCTGTGTTATTTCTTAATGGAATTTAATTCAGAATATATACTCTGATGTACTTCATTACGTTAAAAATACTGTCTACACTGTATTATTCAAGACACAAAAATGATGTAGGACATAATTAACTGTGTTTTCATTACTATGCACTATATATGTGTGTATACAAAGGCTATGACATTCAAATGTAAACCTACAGTAGCTTAAATGTTATCTATCAAACTGCTACAGCTTGCTTAGTTCATTGAATTATTATTTTTGGCTTACCCAAATCTGTAGCTTAATTCTTTTTTCATTTTTGAAAACTGTTTTTACTTTGAAATCGATCCCAACCGTGCTTACAAATGCAGACGTAAAGGAATCATCAGCATATCGGAACAAAAAGGAGGTTTTCCCAACACTGCTGTTGCCGATAATGAGCAGTTTGAACATGTAATCAAAGTTCTGGTCAGATGTATCTTTCTGGCCATATCTGGAATCTTGAGCAGATGCCATCTGTAATTCAAAATAAAAAGAAATATTTTATTGTCTTTTGCAGCATATACAACTTGAAACATTTTGATCTTATTGGAGTTTTTGATAACGGATACGAATCAACTCAAGAAGAAGTTCACAGAGGTTTAATTTTTTTTTATGATTCTTGGTTCAATGTTTATAGTTCCAATTGCAAAAGAGAATGTAAACATCATTGGTGACTGGTACCAAAAAAAAAAATATTCTAAAAATCTGGGACAGTTTTTGAGTATATTGTTAAAAAGATTTACTTTCAGAAAATGTGATGAATTAAATAGATAGTGAAAATATAGACAAAGATACTTCACTTGTATGAGAAGAAAATAAGAGATGAGTGCTGCATTATAACAGCATATTTCCAAGCAAAAACTAAGTATGTTGAATATCTGACAAAATTCTTAACTATTTATTTTACTATAAGTATGTTGCAGTCTTTTCTTATCCGTACAATCTTGTTCAAAGCATTTTGCCGTTATCAGCTTTCAGTTATCATACCATTTGATAAGTTGGTCATATACCTCTGAAATAAAGTCTTGATTTTTTCTGGTTCTAGTTTCTTCTACAGTTTTGGAATTTGCAACATTAATGCAACATCTTCATAAGTGGCAGGTGTCAATGTTTAAAAATTTGAGTCCTTAAAATGCAGTTTCTCATCTATACAAAACACCTGAGTAAGCACACGTTACTGAATACTGCTAAATATCAAGCCAATTTTGCTCTAGGGACTTCAAATAAAGTATAAATGGTATAAATATAAATATGGTATAAAGTATAAATATATACAAATAAAGTATAAATAGACAGGTTCCATTTATAAAAAGTGTGCCTTTGGCTTTCAGGAGAGTTGCAGAAATCAACTTGAAAACCTGACCAATATTCTACCTGGCATGCTCAAAAACAGATGGCAAAAATAAAGAATTTAGAACTAGGTAGTGTTTCACCTGACATGCTTTTAAAGAAAAAAACTGAAGTATCTTGAGAGTCCTGAGAGCCTGGCAGGATTTGAAATTCTTGGTGTTTGGCAATACTAAGGGCAATACATTTGCACACTGATTTCAAACAGAAAGACAGACATCATATCCTAAGATAAAGGCTTATGGAAAAGCAGCTCACATCAAAGCTTTCTAAGTTAGATATCTGAGAGTGCATTTGGGCAGTCAGAAAGGACAGCTGGAACCAGGACCTTGCAGAAGGATGAGAGCTGTACACTAACCCACCTGCTCAGCAGAATTTCAATTACTGCATACATTTTCTGAGCTAATTCTGCTGTCTCATAGTACAAATAACAGTATGCCAGCCTCTTTGGGCTACTGAAATGACATACAGAAGTCAGAACAAATGTCCTAAAGGAGACAACAGAAGTAGCAAGCCTTTGAGAGAAAATTCAGTGTAAGATTTATATTTCACAATAAATGCGGTAGGGAGTGTTTGACTTCAGAATTATTCTTTTATTTGATAGTGACTAAAGTTCTTGACTAAATGTACTCTTGGGTACCTACATGCTTGCATCCTGAGTGTTTGCATTGGCCTTAATATTTATTCACTTCTTTCACAGGAGTGACACAAAGAAGTTTTAAAACAAAATAAATATTACCAAGTATACACATCACTAATCTTTCTGATTTCTACAGCAAAAGACAGAAGAAAATCCTGTCCACCTCTACTACTCTCTCTTACTGTAAAACTATTTGAGGATGTTTTGCTAAGAACATGAGAAAAAGAAAATTGAATCCTGTCTACACCAGTCTCAGCACAACTGGCTATGAAGTAGTAAAGAGTACAATGATGTGTGCGATTTGCAACAAGCCAATAAAGTGTAGCCGACTAAAGACCGTGCAGTGGTTGGGGATGCCAGTGTGTAACCTGTATCCTTCCCCCAGCAGCCTGTCCCAATGCCCTTCTGGCTCCTCCCTGAAATACATCAGCTGAAACCACAGAAGAAGAAGAAGAATTTTCTTTCTGGATTTTATCTTCTAGGAAGCCTTCCATGTAGCCTCCTCAACTCACTTAAGGTTTACAAGAAGGGGTTTTGCTGGCCTCAGTCTTATGTGCCTTACAATTCATCCCTGTGAATGTCCCTTTTAAGACCTAACACTTCAGAAACAGTATGATTCAGTGAGCAGAGGAATCAGGAGACCTGGATTCTAATAATAGTCTTGCTAAATCTTGTACATTATGTAGCTTTCCTGGGTAAGAACACGCTTCCTATGGATGATTTTAAACACAGACTTTTTCCACAAAGAAATTTCAGTGCTTCTCTGAATTAATGTGCTTATGTAGATTACCCATGCAAATAACTTAATAGTTTCCTTAGAAATTCTTAAAAAATAATAAAATAAAATCAAACACCTTCACTGTGCTTGAACTTATGGATCCATTGCTTGTAATACAATAGGCAGATTTATGGACAAATCAAACATGGAATTGCAGACAGCTTTTATTTCAGGAGAAGGAGTATGTCTGCCCATACAGGATGCAGAAGGCTGGAAAGGGCTAATGTCTCCATGTCCTGCTGGGGGAATCATGACGTGATTAGTGAGGTATTGATAATAATTCAAACTGTTTGGAGAGACTAATTTTAATCTAGAGAGACAGTCTCCCTAGACTAATGATAATGATCCTTTCTCATGTCCAAAACCCAAATGAGTTTTAGAGAAGTACTAGTGCTTGCTTGCACCAGTTTGAAACATCAGACTCGGTACTGGTGCTACGTCTTTGCCATTACTTCCCAAACTCACTCATTCTGTATTAAGCACCAAGAGAGACTCTTCAGAGTGCAATTCACATCACCATATCAGGCTCCCATTCTAAATGACACTCTACAAGACTCTCTATTTTTCTGCTGACTGTAAGAAAAACCTAGATGGTTGGTCCTCTTGAGCCTTGTGAATATGCCTGCAGCGCTTCTCTTTCTAATATGCAAGTTGCTGACTTCAATTAAGTACGGGACGCACTGTAGCCCACTTCCTGATGTATTAATATGTCCATTCACTCCTAACAGGACTTCTCTTTGCAATGGAGGCATTTGGCAAAGAAATATAAAGAAGCTAGTGCTGATGGCATGTTCCTCTTTTGGAAACAATGCTGGAAACAACCACCAGCAATACCACGTTCAGGTCTGTTAATTAAATACTACATACATTGGTGGGATCCAAATAGGCATGCCAACCTTGCTAATATGATGATGTTCTATTTCTCAGAAAGTAAAAATCTTATCTTTATTTCGACAAAGTTCTCTTCTCAAATGATTAAATTCATATATTAAAGAAGCATCACTTTCAGCAAAACACACTGAGTTTTCTCTCAATAAAAATTTGTTCTTGTTTAGTAAAATTGAAGAGAGAATGCACAAGGCTATTTTCATTAGCATATTGCATACTTGCTTTTTTGTAGATTGAGTCCCTTTTCAGATGCCTACACTCATCAGTGTGTTCACACCAAAGGCAGTCTCAGGCCACCTCCTAGAGGACTCAGGACAGACTTGAGAGCCCTGTGGAAATTTAAGCTCAAGACAGTGATCAGAAGACCTATAGTGAGAAGATCTCACATGTCTTCTCCTTACCAAAACTTGAGAGAAGGTATGTCCCCAGCTTGAACATAGTCCAAGGACAAAAAAGGTTGGCTTTGTATGCTTCCCTACTTAGTGCACATCTTTAAACTCCTTAAACGAATATTATTTATGGGCACAGTCAACTTTAAACATTAAGCAGATCTTTCTACATAAAATCCAGGTACTTTTCAAGTCTTGTGTTCAACTGTTTTCTTAATCCAAAAAGAACAGGATAAAACAGGGCAGGGTTGAGAACAAATGTCTGAAAAAGTATGTGTTTAATAATAAAACACTTAGCCATGTTACTCTGTATGGCCTTAGAGGACCTCATTCTTTGATAGAATTAATTTGAACAGCTTTCTCACTTAAGCAGAGCAGCATGCCATGACCTCTGCACATCACTTCAGTTTGCACTTGTATATGCACCCCACTCTGGATGCTTTATGCAGGATGAATTGCCCTTGGAAAATACAATGCAAAAAGTGAAATAGGCTGGGATTGAAAATACTGAGATTGATTCCTTTATGCCTTTATCAAACACATCATTTACTTTTAAAACTTACAGTAACAGGCATGTCTTAAAGGAATATCTTAAAGGAAAAGATAGACAGTAAGCCCTGTGAAAATGTTTATTTCTGTCTATGGAAAGGAGAGACAGACCCTGGTTAGCTGATTTGAAGTTGTTTCAAAAGCAACACTCCTTTTCTATATACAATGTAGAAATATATACATTTCCATTGCTTTTTATCTAAAAAGAGACTGACTTCAGCCATTATTTTAGCAAAAAGACAGAGTTCTCTGCACACTCAGCTTGTTGTGAGGTCACCTTTATGCTTTTTGTCAAATATAATTAGTGAAACATAATCAATGGATATTGAAACAATGGAAAACAAGGGGAAAATTCAATGTTTATAACTCATTGGACTCTATGTAGGATGCATTGCAAGTGAGTATCTCTAATGTGAAAATGTCATAATCAGTCAAAATGTTACCAAGATCCTTATATAGAAGAATGCTATGGCAATATAACCCATGAAGAAATCAATGATTTTCTAGGTAAAATACCAGACCAATAACCTAGATATTAGATTTTATTTCAAACTCTTTCAGAGGTATAACTTTTGTTCTCCTTCTTTCTATATCTTGGTGAGCTGCTTAACTTGTGTCACTTTTGGTGTGCTCTCAATTAATACATCAGTATCTACATACACAGACCACAGCCAGCTCTCACAAATCCTTATCATCTAATTTTCAACTGACCAATTAATAAGACTTAACAGAGTTCAGTGGTCAATGCACCAGCCACTTATTTGGAATTTACGGATTGCCAGCCATCTGCAGAGCACAGCTTGTGAACCAATGTACTTGGCAGCATCAAAAGAAGCATATCTGCATCAAGGTATTATGAGGTTAGATTCATGAATATGTGTAAGTATATCATAACCCAGTCTGAAAAGTGTAGTTAGAAATATAAAGTTTTATTACAAGGGGAATACTGAATTGAGAGTCTAAGCCATTTTAAAGAAGATCTACTTGCTTCATATCAGAAGTAGCATGAGTGTGACCACAGTGCTGGCAGTTGCCCAGGACAACAGAATGCAAGGTGCAATAAGGAACAGTTCTGGCAAGACTCTAGCAAATGAATTCTGATGAATCCACCTGTGGTGAGCTAGGGCATTATCCCTCGTTTTTCTTTCTTTAACCTAAGTTTACCTTCTCCGTGAAAGGGATAGCTTATGAAATATATTTCCAATTCCCACTCTCTACAGTATGGAAAAATCCCCTTCTCCAAATAGTAGCAAAACCAGAGATAAAGCCCTAAGTGGTTTAGTCTAACACAGGATGTCAAGAAGCCAACAAAATAGGGCAGCTCTGAAAAGAAAAAATACAAGCTGTATCAGGCAAGGCACTCCAACTTAAATAAATCTGGGTTTACCAGGGGGTAGAAAAGAGAATAAAGACAGAGGATGCCTACTGCCATTTGCCCTATGCAGTGCAGCAATCAGGATCATGAGACTAACAAAGATTGCGCAGCTTCTCAATTCCCAGGGCAGCTGCATCAGGCCAAGAGACAACATGAAATACTAATGCCACTCTCAAGGCCATTGGTGAGATGTCATTTGTAACATTTCTGGTCAAGTGTGTTTATAAAAGCTGAGTTTAAATGGAAAAGTACAGAAAAAAGGTTACTAGAAAGACCAGGAAAAGGAAGAGTTTATCTTATGAAAAAAATCTAAAGAAAAAAGAGTAAGAAAAACATAAGCTTGTTTCTCTAGATAATAATCTGGAGTGAACATTACAGAATGATAACTATTTAGACTTATGTATAAAGGAGCAGACACTGAACATTAAGAAGTGAGTATAAACTGGTCCTGAATGCCCCTGAGCTGGAGATTAGAAAGTATCTAACCAACAAAGGAATGAGCTTTCACGGTACACTTCCAAAAAGGGGTACTGACAGAAAGAGGGCTACTGATTCCAAATGCAGCTTGATCAGTTAACAAAAAGGTGCACATAACTTGGTCTGTGGACTCAGTGGCTTGGAAATCTCCTCTACTCCAGTACTTCTAATTTGAACCAAGACTCACATATCTAATAATTATGCTGAGTGTAAAAGATTAATTGCCATGCTTATTCCTGCGTCTAATAGCTTTAACTTGGCTTTTTTCATCGTAATTTTATAACAAGTTCTTTTTGCTTGCTATTGCCATTCTCCATTGTTTTTGGATGTGTCTGTTATAAACCTGTTTTGCCTGGGCTTGTCACTGTCATTGCCAGTGACAACAGGATATGAAAAGCTAAGAAGAAAATGTTCTCATTTATTTCCTTGACTAAGCAGATTATTTACAGATTATTTCCCACATCCTAGTTTTCCCTCAACTCTGTGGCCTCAGTCACCTTTGAAATGATCTGATGCCCTGGCAAGTGAAAGAGAGGGTCTCTAGAGATCCAGCATTTTCTACAAACTGCTGCCATTAATGCTTGTATGCTCAGGTAAACACTAAGAATAGGTTATCCAAACTACAGTCCTGCTTTTCTATTTTGGCCAAGTGAAGGTATGTGGAAAATTTGAATGCTACAATCAGATAAGGATTGAAACTCGAAGCAGTGAACCAGTGTACGAATCACTGAGAATTTCCCACTGAATCTTCACTTTTGAAAGTACCAGGAAAGCCTTAGGGGAAACTATTGAGAGATACACAGACACTTCAACTAATTCAGACCGATTCTTAACATGCAGAAACCATGCAGATGTCTAACTTTCACAGCAAAGAGAGTTTGTTGCTTTTGGCTTCCAAATGAAGCCCTCTCCATGGCCATAAGCCCTATTAAGACTTGTATCTGTTCTTTGAAATCATGGCTAGAAAAATGAAAAATTGTCACAAACTCTGACCCAGATCCAATTACATCCAGCAGACAACAACAGCAAACTTTTAGACTAGGTAACCCCTTCTCTGGAAGGACTGTTTGGGATACCTTTCTGGAAATTGCTGGCCCTTCTTGTCTACAGAGCAATGGTGTGAGCTGGAGACTGAAACAAAGAATTCATTGACATAGACTATGCTGCTAAAATATTTTTAGTTTTCTTTTTAATTATTGCTTGATAGAAATGGAAAAAAATGCTTACACTCTCCTCTGAATTGTTTTTGTCGTGATCAAAAGACATAGACTGGATCACTCTTTCTGTTCCTCTACAGTTCAGAGACGGTAGCTCTGAAACAGACCATTCCATAAATTTATTGTGTTCAAAGAAGGAACTACATTTGTTTCATGTAATAGGAAATCAGATAGCTAAAAGACATAAATCAAGCAATTAGTTCAGCCAGTCTAAACCACATTTGAACAAAGACCTGCCATACTAGCCTAATGTAGGAAAACAAAAGGACTCTTAAGACGAAGAATCCACAATAGAATATTGGTTTACTGGAATCTTTAATAAGACTAATATTTGAGTATGCTGGGAATAGTGTAAGTGGAAGAAAGAAAAAAAACATGCAGAAACTACAAGTGAAAATCAAACATTTTCTGCCAGACTGCATTTTCCCATCTTGGAAAAATCCGGATGCTTGTGATTATAATTTTGGATGAGATGTGCTTAAAAATAGACACTGTTTGACCGTCTCACCGGCCTTGAATAAGTGGAATTTTTAAGGTTTTCTATAGCTCTTTGATGTCTCTTTATATACTAAGGCTGTGATTTCTGCTGACTTTTATTCAATTATATTTAACACTAACTCCATTTGTACTGACAATCATATAAAAAACCCAAGAAGCTGTTCTCTGATATTTGTCAAGTAAATTTGTTTTTTAATATATATATCTGGACTACCCTTTTTTTTTTTGATTGTATTTTAATGTTGTGCCACCATCTTGTTTCCGTAACTATTTAACAACGTCAGTGAATGCAACATCTGTCAAAAATGTCAAATGTAATAGTGACCAATCTGTATTTGTCATCCTTGTCATCATACTAGTGAAATTTGCTTTTCATGAATGCTCTCCAAAGCCAACACATACTAAACATGATTTCAGTATCTCAATAAGCATGTGTAAATAAATGGCAAATACCACATAAATATTTCCTACACATGCATGTAGCATATGAGAACTAGGCATTTTAAACAACATCCTAATTATTGCTCTTCTCTTTCAGAAAACGGAAAGACATTCTTCCTGAAGAATGGCTTATTTCTAGTGTACTTCTTTGGTTCAAAGGTTTCAGCAGGTGATATCTGAGCAACTGCTCTGCAAAAGATTTATGAGGTTATCACTCCCTGTCCAAAGTCAAGCAAACCCAACTCCCTATCAATGTAACTTAAGATTTCAGACTTCTTTTTGGGCATATATATTGAAGAGGATGCAGATCTTCCCTTCAGGCTGGAATTCTATTACTGCCAAAGTAGATATCCAGCATGAAAAATATTAGCTAACAGAGCCGCAATTCATAACTTAAACCACAGCAGACTGCAAAAGTGCTCTTTGCATTGTATCTGTGAGACCAATTGTTACGGATCCGTACATAACATGACCGATACTCTATTAAAAAACAGTCATATGTTTGAATGCATAGTCCATGGTCCTCAACGCTCCTGCATGAGGTTATCAAACAGATTCTAATTAATAACAGAAATACAGTTCACCAGTGTAAACTGTTTTGTACCAATAACCTAGAAACTGCTAAAAACTCTGCATAATGTAACTTGTATCTGTACAGCATCTGTTTCTCCAGTGATATGGGGCGTTATATTTTACCAGACATAGAAACTGCATAGAAACCCCACAGAAAAAGGGGCCACCCCTTTGCTACCCTCAGTTCTAGCTGTAAGCCATCTCTCCCTGGTGCAGATGGATAACTGCTCCTTGAATAAACAGGTGGAGATGTCGTGCCAACTGCTTGCGCATCCAGGTAGGGCCTTGTTACATCTCATGACCTAACAACTTACATCCACTCACTCCCACGGGAGCTGCAACCAACGCTCATAGGGCAGTAGCCGCAACATACTGTTCAGTTTGCCTGGATGAGACCCAAAAACCCACCTGCGGCCAGGACGGTGGGGTGGTGGCTATTGCAGGACCGTTCTGCCCAGCCCCCCACTGTGGCTGCCCCCCCAGCCCAGGGAGCTGCACGGGAGACACGGTGCCCCACTGCACCCCTGCCCCCTGTGGTGGGCTGCCCTGAGACCAACCCGCCGGGCACCCCTCTCACAGGGACACAACATCCCCCAGTCTCCTCACAGGCACCCCTAGTTCCCCTCACACAGCCACACAGAGCTCCCTCATGCACACACACCCCTGGTCCCCTCACAGGTACCCCTGGTCCCCTCATATACCTGCACTGAGCTCCCTCACACACATAGCCCCCTGGTCCCCTCACAGGCACCCCTGGTCCCCTCATATACCTGCACCAAGCTCCCTCACGCACATACCCCCCTGGTCCCCTCACACACACCCCTGGTCCCCTCACACACACCCCTGGTCCCCTCACAGGCACCTCTGGTTCCCCTCACAGGCACCTCTGGTTCCCCTCACAGGCACCTCTGGTTCCCCTCACACACACCCCTGGTCCCCCTCACACAGCCGCACTGAGCTCCCTCACGCACATACCCCCCTGGCCCCCTCACAGGCACCCCTGGTCCCCTCACATACACCCCTGGTCCCCTCATAGTCACCCCTGGTCCCCTCACAGGCACCCCAAGTCCCCTCACATACCCCCCTGGTCCCCTCACAGTCACCCCTGGTTCTCTTCACAGTCACCCCTGGTTCCCCTCACACACCCACACTGAGCTCCCTCACGCACA